TAGTGTATCAGTATAATCAATTACTGCTGCAACTAATTAAAATTAACTGGAAGTAAGTGAAAGAAAAAATAGTCCATAAGAAAAAATATGACTGAAATTGAGATTGTCCCAACTTCATCAATTATAATTAATATTGCCAAACTGCTACATAAAATAGATAATCACAGTAAAAGAGAAATATATAAAACTTCTGATCCCAATGGAAATATTCATTGATTGTAAAGTCAGATGCTAGGAACCTGTTTACTGAATACATGTATAAAAAGATCTCATGTAAATGATTAACTGAAATCTAAATAAAGTGAGAATTATCTCAAAAGTTAATACAGGTTTGCCTCAATTTATTCTGTACATGTGTTCCCGGAGAATGGTGCATAAATCGAATTCACATAAAGCAAACCCACTTTACAATATAACAAATAGGGTTAGGTTCCCATGCCAGGGAGGGAGGGAGTGAGGCTGGGACTAGGGAAGGGCTGAGAGGAGGGGTGCCGCTCCCAGGGCTGCACAGAGCAGCAAAGCAGAGGGAACAGAGAGGCACTCACCCCAGCCCTGGCTGCAGCAGCCCTGGGAACGGCCGGCAGCAGCTGCCTGCACCATGGCACTGTGCAGCCCAGGAGCTGGGGTGAGCCCAGGCATGAGGGGACAGGTGGAGCATGGTGCAGCACAGCAGCTGCAGGCAGCTGGTGCCAGCTGCTCCCAGGGCCGCTGCAGCTCAGGCTGGGGTGAGTGGGGACACGGCCCTTTCCCCTCCTCCCACAGACTTACCTGCTTGGGAGGAGGGGCATCTATGCTGATTGCATAAGAGTGAATTTACCTTTCATATAATGAAGCATGCATCTAAACATGCTCATCACATAAGAGCCCGCATAAATCGAGGGAAACCTGTAGTTCTTTACATGGAGTTCTCTTTTGTAGATTCCAATCATTACAGTTTTATTGGGTAAATTTAATTTTAGTTGTTTTATTCATTTCTTCTCTTCTCTAACAATCAAGTTGTACAATAAGTTAGCAGAATTGATTTTTAAAGTTTTATAATGATCTGTTTCAAAATAGCTTTAGCAAACATTGTGCTCCACTAAAATCACCATTCTTTTAGCTGTTCCTTATTACAATTTGCCTAATAGTAAAAGGGACCCAGAAGTCTGGACTCTCAGGGTGTGTCCCCATGAATGGGAACATGTGTTCCTGGGGACAACTAGCAGTGGCCCATAGCATTGCCCTGGGTGGGGAAGGGGAGGCTGGGGCCAGCAGTAGTGACACAGGAGTCTGGGGGCCTCCTGGGGCTCCAGCAGTGATGATCTTGGCATGCAGAGCTTCGCTGGCAGCCAGAGTGTGGCTGTGACTGGCCAGGCTCCAGTTTTGAGCAGCACACATTGTTGCTATGTGCACCACCCCACTTTTTTCTGGTATGGGCTTCCTTGATACCGGCATCTCTTGGTGTCAAAAAATCCACTGCATTGCAAATTAGCAGCATGGTGAATGCCTGTATGTGTGGTGCATGTGGTTTGTGGCACCACAGATGGACTTGCGGTTCCACAAACCACGTGTGTGTGCTTGTCTGGACACAACCTCAGGTTTTTATTTCTGGTACTATACTAGGTTAATATGCAGTGGGCACATCTACATAAAATGTTGTCGCAGGCTAAAGTGCCTGCTCCTTTATGAGCAGAAACTGTCTAGGGAGAGGGCCCTAGGTGTAGGTTACTATGGCAGCAGGCTAACAAGGGAATTAGCCTGCACCTGCACCCGGTCAGCTGACTGGAAGAAGGCAGGGCCCTGGGCCCACATAAACCCCAGGGCTGAGGCCAGTAGGGGTTAGTTCTCTGGCAGCAGCCAGGGGAAGGAGCCTGCAGAGAAGAATTGCCCAGAGACACTGTGGCCAGCACTGATATGCTAGCTATAGGACTAATGGGGCTCCAGGAGCTCACCAGGTACCCTGGGCTACAAGTCACTTAATACTTGGAGGGAAGTTCAACTCTTTTAAAGTGACAGAGCACACTCTGAACTGGTTGTATTATGTTATAGCCCAGGGGCTCATAGTTTGGTTGCTGTTTATAAACCGGCAGACTGGACTGAGGCTATTCGGGAGGAGGAGGCCTCAGTGGGGCACACTACAGTGTGGAGACCTTAGTGCCAGCAGGTGCAGTGCTAGTGTGGGCACTGAGACAGGGCTGCAGAGATCCTCAGCACCAGCATGGGTGCCGAGACAAGGTTGCTGAGAGCCCAGTGACAAAGGAGAGGTTTAGCTATATCAAGGTCTCAAAGAGACAGTGTTTTAATACCATCTCTGAGGCATGGGGCATGGTAAAGGAGTGGTTTTGGAGCCATGCATCTAGCCCATAAGGCTGAGGGTGTCCCATGAGGCATCCATTTTGAGTGGGACTCAAAAAGGGGTCCAAGAACCCACAGGCTTCAGTGGGGTCCATCAGGACCATGCCCAAACATAAACTCGAGGGCAGCCTCCCTATTTATTATTATAATTACCAGCAAGACATGGCAGGCGAAGAAAAGGGTGCCCATTGGGCAAGATTGATACAGTCATGGAGCCCTAAGGGCATCATGGCCATCCCTGGGGACCCCACGCCATCACAGATAATTACTGTGGCATTGACTAATTAGCTCCACCATAAATATCTAAGCATCTACACGTGCAGGGCAATTAGGTTGGAGTAATCGAATTAACTCTGTAACAGGATAGTACTTGTATTACAGGTATTTACAAGTACTATATTGCTGCAGAGTTTTTTACTCTGCAGCAGTGCACATGTAGATGCCAATGCAGTTGGCTGGGCCACAAGGGTGCTTTTGTCCAGGGGCACTACAGCACACTTATACCTCAGCTAGTCCTCCACAGCATGTTGAACCCTGGGGAGGGGGGCAGGTTCAGCCCCAGGCTAGCTGGCTGACCCCCAGGACCTTCTGCCAGCTGGAGTTGCTCCAACCCATCTCAATGTGCTGCAGCCCTGGGTGCACGGAGCAATGAGCTCTCAAGTTTATTGCTTCATATTAATTGCACGTGTAGATGCACTCAGTATGGGGTACGTCATTTAAGCTTTTTTGCAGCTTCTTTCTGCTAAATAGTTACAATAATACTTCACAGGGACTCTGTAGGACTAATTTGTGGCTGTTAAGCACTAAGATCCTCAGACAAAAGGTATAATGTGCTTGATGTATTATAGCTTTATGATTCTCAAGTCAATTCAGATGCAGTTGCAAAATTTGAGTTCTTAGCAGAAATAATGTTAAATGCTATTTTTTCAAAACTTTTAATTGATGGATTTCTTGAATTGGTAGGTTTTACATTCAATAGTCTTGGTTCTTTGTTCACCAGTGTAAATCAAGAGAAATTCCACTAAGTCAGCAGAGTTAGGCAGGAGTAAGCAGGGGAAGATGAATCAGGCCTGTTCCCCTAATCAGTCTCATAGTCCCAGGGCCCTACCTAATTCAAGGCAGAAGTGGGCTTCAAGACAGCTTCTTTAATCTTGCAGGTTCCCTTGCATCCCCTCCCTCCCTGCCAATTGGCAGAGGAGCTCTGCTGCCACGGTTTTAAATATGGCACCGTTTTTGCCACCTGGTTGGTCAGAACCAAGCAGGACGGTCACCAGTGTCCCTCAGCCAATCAGCAACAGGATTGGGGAGAGGGACACATGGGGGAACCTGCAAGATTAAAGGAGCTGCTGCACAGCCCAGTTAGCCCATGAATTCAGTAGGGTCCTACATATTCCACATGAGAAAAAGAAACTGATAGTGTTAGAACAAATTATACTATAAGCAAGAAATAGACTGTTCCACACAAATATCCCACATAGTTCTGCAAATTCCTGATTTGAAATATCACAGCTGTTTCAGTGCCAAATCTCCCTTGAGCAGAGAATGCTAACAGTAGCAAAGTGTGACAATTCTGGGATGGTGACAACAGGGCTTAGAAATAGACAACCACACTCACTTCAGCTGTGATATGCAACAGACTGTAAATAAAGTCGCATTGTCTATTGCATTAATAGAGTGTATGACTCAGTACTAATAATAAATTACAAGCTGAAACTCGCAAAATATTGGAGGTTAATTTTTTACTGCAAAAGTATTTCTTTAAATACAGGACTTTTAGTTATCCTTTGACTGAATACTTTAACGGAATCAAAACTTTTCACCTTTGAAAAGGCTATAGAACGCTGTCTGTGCCCGCCTCTGTTCGACCAGGCGCTCTCGGGCTACTCTAGCCCGAGCGGCCGCTCTCACTGGCCACAAGCTCATGAGGGGGCCCCGGGGGGGGCCTCGGGGGGGGACGGGGGGGCCC